CCATTAAACTTTTGAGGGTTGGGGGAGGGGGAGGGGGGGGTGTGGATGATTTTGAAAAAAAAATCCTGCAAGCCATCTTCACCAAAAAAATCGTGCACAACATATGGACCTGAAAAAAAAATCTTGCACTACCCTAAGCCAAAAAAATGTTACATACAAGAAAAAAAAATCCTACACACCACCAAGAGAAAAAGTATTTTATAAGCATTGACTAAAGTTTTGTTTGGCATAATATTTAGTTCTATCAGTGTTACCTAGGAAACGGAATTTGCATTTTGTCGAAATTCTTTTTTCCCAAATAACTCAAAAAATCTATGAGATCCAGAAAAGTGGTAGACATCATCATTAACTTCAAACTATTGCATAACATTTTGGAATATATATTCTGGTCCAAACACGAAACACATCGGTTCATAGCAAGAATTTGAAAAAGCGAATTTAAAATGAGAGGTATGGTCGAAAAACAACCTTACGTAAATATGGATACAGAACTGCTACAAGTAATCTATTACAACCCATATACATAAAATGATTGCACAAATCAGTTTATCGGTGATGTTAGCATTATAAATAAATGCAAATGACATTCGATACAAGAGACCAGAAGTTAATGCCTATCTAACAGTAGTAGGTAACTGACTTTTCAAAATATAGTAGGTAACTGACTTTTGGGTACCCCCATTGACACCCTCGTATGTTTCACAGACGGATGAAAATGACTCTATTACCGAATCTTATTAGGCGCTAATCGATGTGCTATGCATGTATGAAATCGCCAACCAAGAATTCGTTTATAAGYAAGTGACGTGGATTGCTTCAATAATGTGGCATAATATATAGTTTGCGTTATGTACGTTCGTCGTTGTTGTGATACTGCCGACTGCCAACGAAAACTTTGGTCAACTTACACTTCCAAAGAAAATGTCGTTTGTTGTTTTGCTGACTCTGTCCAGAGAACGTCGTGGGTTTGTGTCTCCTTCGGGAAAATTACTTTTTGACATACTGACGTTTGCAGGTGTCACGCGAGCTGTAAAAAGTACAATATCATCGACAAACGTGAAAGGGAGAAAAGTGAAAAAAATATGATCAAACAATACTAGCACTCCATCAAATCTAGAGGATATTTCCTCCCCAATTTCTTATCTGCACTGATGAAWTTTTTTACCATCCATTGTTTTGAGAGGATACGAGTCCAACGTAGTAGTTTTCAGCAGTCCAGGACTCCGATGATCTCCGAGCTGAAAGGTCGTTGCTCTTAACTTCCTCACAGCTTCGTTTTGATTGTAGTACTCAAAGTCACTGGAAATCGGTTTTGATCTGAACGACTCTTGCTGTGTTGACTTGTGGAAGATGCACTTTTCTGGGTCTCCTTGGGGTAAATTGGATCCACTGGCCTACAATAAACACAGAGTAATCCTCACTAAAACCTGCACCCCAACAGATAAGACACCCCACAACCTACAGAGTAAAAATCACCCCAATGGTCTAGACACCCCAAGACCTACAGAGTAAAAATCACCCCAATGGTCTAGACACCCCAAGACCTACAGAGTACAAAATCACCCCAATGGTCTAGACACCCAAGACCTACAGAGTAAAAATCACCCCAATGGTCTAGACACCCAAGACCTACAGAGTACAAAATCACCCCAATGGTCTAGACACCCAAGACCTACAGAGTAAAAACCAGCCCAATAGTCTAGACACCCCAAGACCTACAGAGTAAAAATCACCCCAATGGTCTAGACACCCAAGACCTACAGAGTAAAAATCATCCGCACTACCCACAGTTTAAAAATCACCCAAATGGTATGGTCACCTTACAAACCAGAGAACAATAACATTTACCCCACTATGTACTAGATTGCCTTGATAGTATACTGTTACTTACAAACAAAGAGGGGTCTAGTCTTTGCATTGGTAGGTATCTATTGATAAACTCTGTCTTAGTTGTGGTCGTAAACTGCCCATCTTGAGTTCTTGGGTCCCCAGTGATCGTCAATCTGCCACTTTGGTCTCCCTTGACAAACAGTGGGCAACTTGGTCCTTGTTTGCCAAGATATCTACTTTTATAATCTGACTGGGGTAATAACTCCTTTTCTCTGTCACCTATAAAAAATACTATATTAAATATTTTATTATAAACAATCACGTTCCCTGAAGAGTTCCAGCACACTACAGGGCAGCTGTTTCTCGCTACAATTCTGCATTTAAGCGCTGCAATAACAGCCAAAATTTGTGGCTGTCACAGCCCCTCATTTAACCATGCTATTCCTTAACAGGGTACAAGAAGCACTGTTGCAGCGCTAAAAAGCACAGTAGATTTTGTACAGGCTGCTTTGCTATGATATTTGGTGTATTTGAAAGAGAAATCAATACCCGAGTTTTGAGGAAAYTCTCATTTTTCAACCACCTGTGAAGTTATTCAAATTTCATTATTCCTCAGTGGTTACCAAGACCCTTTCAATATAAAGTCAAATTTTGTTTATTGTTTATTTTCATATGTGCCRGATACCTTGTGGAATGCAACTTTTCATCCATTCAGTCCTCCCTGTACTRGGGGTGGATTTTGCTTCACAAAGTGGACGAACAGGAAAGTATTCCTTGTGAGTTGTAGCAAAGGATTTTAACTTCTCATCAGAATCTCCTTTAAAGTTTGTCCTTCTTAGTTCATAGCTGTCTCTTGGATTCTGTCTGCTCAGCTTTTTTTCTCTGAAGTGACTTTTAGTAATTGAATTGTTATCACCATAGCGACTGTCTTGGTGCATCATTCCTGCTGGATCAGGGGAAGGAATACGCTCTCTCTTTTTAAGGGGTAATGGAATATAGTCTTTTTTGAAAATGCTTTTATATGCCTCAGAATCGTGTTTTGGCCCCCACCTACTGTCATTGCTGATAGTAAAGTGTGATGAAGCCAGAAAATCAGTCCCAGTTTTAGGCTGTGAAATCTTGTTTGGAGTCTCATTCATCATGCCTACAGAAGATAATTATATAATTATGCTATATTCGCGTTAAAAAACAACTTAAYCATCATRCATTTTCGAAAATGTCAAGATAAAATAGAACAGAGCAAATTGCCTCTAAACGTAACCAGGTAAAAATTCGATCAAATAAATGGTTGCAGGTAAAAATTATTGCAATAATGAACTTCAAAATCGAGTTTCAAAGAAACATAGAATAAAACTGCTAGAAGATGGGTTAAGAGTTAGGTACACTGTATTAATCTGGTATTTGACAAGATAATTTTTAAGTGTTTACCCGAGACGATCATGTTGAGTTAAGAAATCAAATACGTCCTGTACTATTCAAATTATCAACATCTCCATCTTATAAACATTACAATTAACGAATTCTCTGATTTAAATGACTGAAATGACACAAACCTACCTTGTTAAGTTCACTGTGACTTTGAGCTTCTTATCACTTGTGGAATTTGATGCATAACAACTTCACAATGATTCTCGTTGCCATGGAAACAACAATGTCATGAGATTCTTTTTAAAAATCTCAAATTATAACGATTGTAAAATTTCTGAAAAAGTCTTAAAATCTCTAAATTAAATATAAAGAAAAATGTATGATCAAAAGTATTCTTTTTCCAATAAAAAGGACAGGTCTCGAATGTTTTAAAWGTAGTAAAATAACACTTCCGGTTTGAAGATATCCCACAATGCAGCAGTTGGTGAGGTCGAYGTAAAAGGCGCCAAATTCAGTCCTCTTGAGTTCCTTGAGTTCGAATTCTCGAAGTTTTATCATTAAAATGGTACGAACGAAAGCCGATGGTTACACTAAAGGTAAGATATGATACTAATGAATGCCTGGAAATTCATATTTCAATTAAAATGACTGTTGTGATTGGTGAACACGATCGAACAGAATATTAAAGCTAAAGCAGTCCGAGCTTTGTAAGATTTCAATTTCTAATAAACAAAACTAAGCTAGTGGCGAACTAAAATCTTAACAAAATTTCTTGTTGGACTWTCTGTTCACAACTCAATACAATGAACTCAATACAATGAACTGTGAGTTTSAAATGTGACACGAGAAAAATGGTTTTGTTTGAAAGGGGGCCAAGCTTAAGTTTTAAAAAGTAAGCTTACTGCTATAAAGTCCATCAAATACACTGTAACTGTAGCACCCGGAGTCTGCATGAAAGCATCTGTCTTAAGCAATTAGTTTAGTTTTCCTTGGCGTCCCTGATCTCCAYCAGGATTTTGCAAACAGGACTCCCATTATTAAAGATTAGGGTTGTTGCTTGATCGTCATCATACAACAGTCAGGGTTTGTATGGGTCCTGGAAACCCTGGGAAAGTCATGGAAATTCATATTTTAGCATTCCAGTCTTGGTAAATCGTGGAATTTTGTTGTGGAAATGGAAATTTATTGAAAAWATTCCTTTTTTGTCACCTTATAATTTTATCCATATGATTACTATTTCTTGAAATAATTTCAACAAGTGTATTATATCTAATGAAGTGAGGTGATGTTAATCAATCAATGTAGCTGCAATCTGTTATAGTGCTAGTATTTATGAAGTTGGCTTTTTTTACATTTTGGCCATTGAAATAAAACCATGCAGAAGTCATGCAGTTTCAGATCTTCAAAAAAGTACTCTGAAGTTCCGAATAATCGTATATATACGCTTATTTATTTTGGCAAAATATTCCACTCTATACGGCCTTATTTGGGACTGTACGATTATTAATTTTCACAATTTTTTTCTCTGTGCCTACCTTAATTAGTTATTAACAATATCGTGAGAAAAAAAATTGAAAAAAGTTGCCAAAAAGACAGACTTTTTGTCTCTAAAACGAAAACAAAACCGCGAACGAACAGCAAACTAAGAGCACAAATCATCTGGTCAGCGGATTTGATCACAGGGGAAACTGGGGAGAAGTCAGCGGTTTTGCCAAAAAAATGCGGGAAAAACTGCCAGTACTGCCGTTTTTTCCACCCTATACTATTATTCCGATCTATACTATTATTGGTAAATTTGTATTTTTCCACTCTATACTATTATTATGCTCTATATGATTATTCGGAACTTCAGAGTATGAGTTTTGAGGCAATATCACAAATCAAATTTAATAATAATAATAATAGTAAATTTCACATTTGGTGAAAGCTGGCAGGTTAAGAATGAAATGATTACAAGTCCAAGTAACAAAAACATCGTAGAAACCCAAGTTTTGGATTAAGAAYGAGTCATAGAGTTACAAAATACAATATTTCATCTTGAAGTCATAATCATGTAGTTGGAAATTTACAAGTGCAACTTTTAAAAAAGGTCTTTAATCCCTCATTAATAGACAGTTTAAGGTTTTTGATATAATAGGCCTCAAGGAACTCCAAACATGACCAATTGTTGTTACAGTCAATAA